TTATGATTTCTCTGTTCGACCTAATTCAGTATTATGGGACCTTCTGATATTCTAAATGTCATGGGCCCTTGTGTTTGTTGGTGAAACTTTTAAGTGAAACCGATAATTTCACCAAACATGTATGAGAAGTTAGAAAACTGTCATTAGCTTTTCTCCTTGCCGCTTGAAATTCTGTTCATGGCTCCACTGTAGGGACTCGAAGAAATCCAAGGGTGAAACTGATTCTACATTGCACAAGGAGGTGGTTGGCGTCAGCAAGTTCGGCGAGGTACATTCTCTTGCTGAGTTAGTAGGGAAAGAGTGGTTGCTGTTAGGTGCTCAGTGGTCTCTTCAACTTCAAACATCCAGCTGTGATGATGGCCAGCTTTTTGAGTTGGCTGGTCAGAGGAATGTGAGTGTTTATCTGTCACTTCTTCCTTTTTTTGTTAAAAAACAACAGGAAAGTAGATTACTGTTCTCATTTGATGTATACCGCTGTCACTCATACACGATGATTGATATGTCCCATCAGATTTTCTGGAAATGCATCTTTGCTGATGGACACCAATATTAAAATTCGTCTCACATTCCTCATTGGGTATTCCAGGAAACATGGCTTTGCTGCTAACACTCTAATAGAGCCTCTAGCTCTCATTATCTTACTATTTTTATCTTGCGGAAATATTTGGTGTTTTGAACATTACAAAGCTCAGTAGGTATTAAGTTATTAAATTTGGTAGTTGTTCTGGCTGTTGTGAAATGCTATTTATAAGTTGAACAATTTCAGCCACCTTGATACCTATACACTTAATGCCATTAAATGTGTCCTTCTCAGCAACTTGTAGAGAATGTTTCTGTGTTTTCAATCATTATGAATTCGAGTATTGAGATCAAAGTTCTCTTATACAGCTTCTCATTTACTTACTTATTTCAAAGTCATGAAATAGCTGAATTTGTTGGGTGTTACCCATAATTATCATTCGACAAGTTAACATTGTTCTGGCTCTCCATGCATTGATGGTTCCCCCACTCATATTTTGTCCAGGTGAAATTCTTCCCTGGTCAGAGGCTGGATTATGAGCACAAGTATTGTACAAAGCAAAGGAGTGAAGATGATTTTATGACAGCGGTAGAGTTCTCTGCACAGGATCCTTATGGAAAGGCAGTAGCGTTGGCTGACTTGAAATTTGGAGTTATCAATGTAAGTAATTTGGTTATACTCTTGTTCCAGTATCAACTTGTGGAATCACATTTCTCTAATAGATATGGTTTCCTTGTAAAATCAGGTGAAAGAGGAGTGGTTTCTTTTGCCTGGTTCTATAACAGCTTTTGTACTTTGTGATACGTTGAAGAAGGAAGGGTATAGTAGCTTGGTAGGCAGTGCCAAACATTCGAAAGAGAAGTTGTCCACTCAAGAAACTGATGTGTGCCATGAAGAGGACAACAGAGCTAATCTGGAATCTGAGACAGAGAAGGGTGTGAAGTTGGACCTGGAGGCTACCAAAGGAAGCATTGTAGCACCCGCAAATGAAGCAATCAGTGGAGGCTGCAATAATCTTATGAAGAGGGGAGCCTGTGGTAGTTGTGGTGCTGTTTTTGGAAACAAATTAAAGAGTGGTGGTTGTGGTTGTGGAAGTATGTTAGAAAGCGGCGGCTGTAGTGGCAGCGGTTGTGGAGGCTGTGGTGGTGGTGGTTGTGGAAGTATGTTAGAAAGCGGTGGTTGTGGTGGCAGTGGTTGTGGAGGCTGTGGAAGTATGTTAGAAAGCGGCGGCTGTGGTGGTGGTGGCTGTGGAAGTATGTTAGAAAGTGGTGGCTGTGGAAGTATGTTAAAAAGCGGCGGCTGTGGTGGTGGTGGTTGTGGCTGTGGAAATAGGTTAGAAAGTGGCGGCTGTGGAGGTTGTGGAGGGAATAGTTTGAAAAGCAGTGGATGTGGTGGCGGTGGATGTGGTAATGGTTTGGCATGTATGACGACTGTTGAAGTTAATGCATAAATGACATCCCAAAGGAGGGTGGTCATGACTTTGATGCACCGTTTTTATGTTTGTTGAACCCGTTTCAGATTACAACACTAAGCTCTTGATGAGATTGCTGTGTCTTGTAATTAGGATTTCAACTGTTGGAAATGTTTGTTGTGTTATTATGAATGTAAATAGGAAATAATGTGTTCTATGTTGTTGTAGTGACTGCTTTGTGTGTATTATGGAATAATGCAGAAGAGTGCCTTTTGAGCATCTTTTCAATGCTTGATGAATTATTGCTGTGAAGCTCATTTATTTGCTAGTGTTCGTGTCTGGAACCACTCATTTCATCCCATAATCATTTGAATACATAATCAAGTGGGAAGTTTCTTCTACTTATAAATGAATAAATCTGGCAGGAAAAATTTAATGCTTCATAAATTGACTTTACCTGATCAGGTCACATAAAAACCAACTACTACTAATTTCTTATACTTCCTGGTGTGCTGAATAATATCCATCTAATTACTTTTCCTAATGAAACAAACTAAGGAAGGGTCTCATTGGCCTTTGCGCAGTTATAGTTTTGTTCATCAGTAGATTGTCTATTGAAGAATTCCATCAGTACCAACCTTTTAATGCAAAGAAAAAAAGGATAACTAGAAAAAAAAAACAGAAGAACAATTAAAAATGTTTTTTTTAGGCATATCTGTTATTTTGCTTGCATCAATGACCTCAAGATTTTGGCGCCCATAATTAGACATTTAAACTTGTATAAAAGTGAACAAGTAAACACGTGTTTTATGCGGCATAGTGTACATAGAACATAAAATTGCCATGTAGGACATCACATAAGACAAATGTGTTTATTTGTGGGGACATAAATATTAGTTGAACTCAATTTAATTTAAAGGGCAAACATATGGATTGAACTGTAAATTTTTATAAAAAAAACCCCTTTAAATGTTATTATTCTCAAATAATCTGGAAAATGAGCCTTATTAATTGAAATGATATTTGAAAATATTACTTGTGTCTACGGTAGAATTATGTCTTTTCTTTGCTAGTGTGCTAAATTTGACAATAATGATAATGTGACGTATGTGGGGAAAATAATACATAATGGGAAGAGAAAAATTTATATCTTCTTTGATGTGAAAGAGGTATTAGGTATATATTGCCAAAAAATACAAAAACGGTTTGGAATATTATGAACACAGCTTGTGATATTTAAATATGTCTTCATATCTAGATAATGTTGTGTTAAACACATCTCTAAGATCTTTAATTATATTGCTTATAACTTAGCAACTTTTTTTTTAATTTTATTTCTTTGTACATGAAGTTTCATAGGAGATGATATGCTTCTTTGAATATAATCATAGCTTGAATGAATTAATAGATAAATAACTTTATAGTAATTAAGTAAGTCATTAAAAAAGATATATACCTATTTGGAAAAGTCAAACATGATGGACATAGAGGGACTAAGCCTAAATATTTCTCACTAATATTAATGAGATATGAGACTTTAACTTTTGTAGGAAATTTTAAAAATATCTTTTTTTTTAATCTTGTATAAAATTATGATCATTTCCATCAGGTTTACATCTTACCAATCAATCGAAATCAAAATTCATAGATGTCAAGGACCATCTTGATCACTTATATATGTATTAAATATTTAGTACCGCCTATTAAGAATTGCATTTCAATTACAGTAAAATGTCTATAAAATAATACTCTGCAATTTAATAATCCTTTAAAATAATCTTTTACTCCAGTCCAATTTGGATCAATGTAAAAAATCATCAATTTCGATAAGATAATAAGAGAGGGAGGAGAGAGGTAGCGAGAATGGGAGAGAGAGGAGAGAGAGATCGAGAGGGGGAGAGAGGCGAGTGAGAGAAGGGAGAGAGTGGGATAAAGTTGAATTGTATATGTATATAATTGTATATTATACAAATACATTTGTATAAATGGCAAGCTAGATTGGGAGAGGGAGGAGAGAGGCGAGCGAGAGAGGGCCAAGAATCGGAGAGAAGTGAATTGTATATGTATATAGGTTAAAAAATTGTATACTGTACATATTTATTTGTATATCCTGGCGAATTATACATATACAAACATAACTAATTATATAAACTCGAAGTCAGCTCACGTAATTAATGTATATTGTTAGTCGCGGGTGGTAATTATAGCAATCTATAGCTATGATGAATAATTAAATAGTATAAGTTTGCTTAACCGCGTAATTTTTTCAAAATTGAAACAAAAAATATGTTGAAATAAGTGTAAAACAAAAAATAAAAAACATAAACTAATTAGATTGGTAAAAAATATATTTTAAACAAATAAAAAAAACATATTAATATAAGTGAAAAATGTCCAAAAAAATTAATAGATGTCACTTATCACTTTGGGTCTCATCCCATTTATTAATTAAATAATGTCTCATATAAGTATGATTTCATACAAAATAAAATAATTTCCATAATCATGTTTTAATTTAAAAGAGACACCACTCCGTAAGAAACAATATTTTCCATTTGATTGAGAATTCAAATTATTTTTTGGTGCAAAAAAGTCAAGTTGTACAATAAAGTGTTTCTGGTTCATTCTTTGTTTATCTGGAAAATTCAAACTTGATGGAGACATGGAGGACCCAAAACTACTTTGTGTTCCCTTTCAAACATAATTATTCTCTCACCCTAAGTTGAAAATTAGGCATAGCTTTTCTAATTTTTTGTGGAGATTACTGGCTTGAGTAATTTAAATTTAATATAGTGGAAATAAATCAAATGATAAAGAAAATTATTCTAAAACATCCTTAATATATTGTTTGGTCATTTAATAGAGGCATATATATAAAAGAAAATTAATGTAAAATCTAAATTTTAAAATCTTCTCCTGATATAACAAAACGTTATAAGTGACTAATGAATGATATTGCACTATGGTATGAGAAGAATGATCTTTAATTTATAAAAATCCCTAACATTTTTGAAAGAGATTTATATATTTCTAAAAATAATTGCTATTTTCACTTTTTTCGGAGAAACAAAATTAAAACTCAAATATAATAAAAACCCGAAACAATCAACTTTGAAGCAATGAACAAAGAGTAACATTCCGAGAGATCTATCTAATAATACAAATACAATAGTACTAATATTATATATCCGAGAGAAATAAAATATTTTATCAACAGATGAAGAGGATAGAAGGGTCACAGCAACACTCATCAATCAGGAAACAGCAACACAAAGCTGCCAGACTGCACCAACGTAAGTAAATAGAGACACGAATTCAAGATTTAAATAAATACTATATTCAAAATTTGAAAAAAATAAAAAGTAATTGCACATACCATCCCTCAAGAAAGCCAGGTTCCCTTCTTGGAGGAGGAGCTGCATAATAATATTGAGGTGGTGGAGGCATCACTGGAGGACCTTGATAATAACCTATACAACACCGCCATTAATTAATTAATTTCAATTGAAAGAGCTATGGGAATTAATTGATTAACCAAAAAGAAGTCAAAATTAAAGTAGATTAGTTAAGTTTAATAATATATAGGAAATTAATTAAAAGTTAAATATACCTTGAGCAGGGTAGGGGTGTGCATACTTTGGTGGATCACTCATCCTTGATTCTAAACTCCTTCAAATTATCACTAAGATAAATATATGTTTGTTGTAAAGAAATACTATAACAACAATATTTATATACAACCACACAGATATCATCAAAGGGGTCAACCCCACGACCTCGACTAATTAATTATTTTTTCTGTCTCAATTTATGTGATAACACTTCTTTTAGTCCATTTATGGAAAAAGTGGTCACATTTTCATAATTATTTTTTAGAAACTCTTTTTTTACATTACATCCTCTTAGCTTTATTAGGTATATAGGACGTGTATTTGTGTCCCTACATGTAACTATTGTCAATAACACCCTATACTTAATCTTAGTACATGGTGGAGCAGTTGCAATTTGTCCTTTGGACAGAAAATATATATAGAGTGGAACTGGTTTATTGGAATGAGTGACATAGCAAAATCATCACATTCGATTGAATAAATAGTGAAGTATATATTCAGTGGTCTAAATAATTAAAGTATTCTAATTTTTTTCATCAAGAAACGCTTAATTCGTCTATGCCCAAAAAAATATATATTATCCCTGTATTAATAAAGATTTGTTCCATCTACTACTCGATCTAACTACTGAGATGAGCAACAATATGAACTATGATGGGAAGGTTGAGATCCTTTATTTTTAGTCAGAAGTCTCGAGTTTGGATTACAAACTAAATATCGAACTCCGAGTGCATGAAAATAAAAAAAGTTTGAGTATTATTTTTCATCTAAAAGAATAGAATCTATAATTCGGCTTTGGGTTATCACAATCAATAGAAAGTAAAACCTAGATGATTTTAGATTTTACATTTCTCCTTTTGTAAATCATACAAGTTCGAAAATAAGTTCTTTCGTCTAAGTCTTTAATGTTCAAAGTCTACTGATTCAATTAATTTAGATTAGCATTGCACGATACGTTACATTGTAGTGCGTGCACTTTAATTTGGAGAGAACTGAAGCTTACACACATGCAGAAGATTTGTTTGTATGAATGAATGAATATAATCGATAAAAAATGAAGTTTTTGCTCTTTACATATTTAAGTAGTAGTAGTACTATATAGCTTTTTAGTAGTATCTTCGATTGTACTTGCAAAATCGAACGCATAAATTGGGCTCTGAGCTAGCTAGCCCATTGAATTATCCAGCCCAACCTAGCAATGCACATTACAAACATATGAAAATTTTGTGGATGTAAATAGTTGAAGTTCTGTCATCAGAGCTTGGGCCAAAATCTAGGTGTGGCCTGAAAATGGTCCATTTGCCAATGGATTTAAAACAAATTTGATCGCTCGAAAAAAATAATTATAGCAGTTCGCCAATAATATAAAATGCATATGATGGTATCAGACCTAGCGTATACCCGATATTAGTAAAAGCTTAGTTGTATGATCAGCTAGTCATTATATCAAATCAATGAAATCATGATAAATGTTGAAATATTCACATCAATCACTTAACCATAATTAACTAATATATATTTCTCACTTCATTAAATTATTTAATCGTAATTAAATGACACTGATTTTTATTAAATACCTAAAGCGAATAAGTTTCCTCACCATGATGCTTTTCATGCCTTTTAAGTGTCGGAATGCTGGAAAAAAAAGGATCAGATATACTCGTTAAAGTATTTAGTAGGCTCTTGATACCATATAAGAGTTGAATATGATTATGAAAGCTTAAGTATTATTGATACAGTGTGTGATATTTATACATTTACAAGTATAAATGAGAAAGGAGTTTGCTCGACATAAGAGACCTAAAGAGAGGAGGAGATAACTATGTATAACTAAAATATACTAACGTGCTAGGACTCTACATCCTTATCCTTATCAAGTTTATCATTAGAACCAAATGTTATAGCTAGGATCAACTATTTCCTATATATATATATATGTATATCAATTATATAATAAATAGTATATATATCTATTATTATAGAATAAGTTATAATACTAACATAATTTTGATTGAAGAGTAGTAAAGATTCCAAACCCGTGACATATATATATATATATATATATATATATATATATATATATATATA